GAGTTTACTAAACTACCAGGTGTGTAAACACCGTAGTAATACAAAATAACCTTTTCTTCTCAACACACTGCTGGCGAAAGCATTTTGGGTTTTATTTTAAATTTATGTGACGTGTTTGTTCTATTTTTACAAAAGTTTGACGTCTGTCTTTTATCCAAATCATAAAAATATCCTTGAATTAAAGTTTTGTGACTCTTAAGAAAACGTTTTCAGCAGAAACAAGGATAAAAAAAATTTTTTTTTAATTAAAAATATCAAAAATATTTGAAGCATAGATCCATCTTTTCTCTACTGGCTTTAATTACGTAAGTTTGACTTTCCCATTGCTCTGATTATTGGTTTGTTCAACAAGTGCAGTCAGACAAATCCACAGCAGAAAAATAAATGATTATTGATGCTTGTGTAGAGGAAGGATCTCATGTTGAGGATTAGATCAGCTTGAGTTGAGTGAGCTACAAAACTCCATCCTGTCTTTAAGCTTGTTGAACACATGCACTGATCAATAATTAATGGCTTTGTGAGTAAAAGTTAGGATTCATAACTAATTTAGGGAGTTTTTAAGCATTACAGTTTAATGTTTGATCAATTATTTAGAGATCCTAAGCGAGGAAGTAGCAGCTTTAATGAGCATTAAATTACGAGTTTCGCTAACTTGTCAGATGTGTATGTATGACAGACAGCTGACCGGTGCTATCATCGTCTTTTTATTTAATACAGTATTTTTTGCTTCTTGATGTTTCCTGAATTCACTTCCGTACTTCAGTGTTAATTTGGACAAACACGGCTCAACCAAAGTCTCGTTCTGACATTTTTCATTCTTAAACTTCCAGATGGCTTTCATTGCAACCTTACACTGTGCATGTAGAAAAGGTACAAAACATAAAATTGGCAGCTGGTAGATAAATTTGACAACCAGTGAGATAAAAAGGCTGTAATTTAGATGCTAACGGCCAGCTGTGTTTCTGTTCATGTTCCCACTCAGGCTTTCTTCAAGTCTTTCCTGTCCAGACCCCTAAACTTGGGGAAACCTGCTGTCATAATGTCCTTTCACAGTGTAAAAAAAGCTTCTTAATGAGAGTTTGGTTTCAAACTTTAGCTTCTTGGGCAATGCATTAACTTCTGCTGCTGAGTTGCAGAAGTTTCTCCTGTGCAGTGGTTGAATGATGGAGAGTTGGAGGTAGTTTTATCAGTTTGTTCTGGTGCAGATTATACATCTTAAAGTAAAACATAATGAGTTTTGTTCTCAATTCAGACTTCTTCTGTGTTTTAGACCATCTAGTTAGCATGAATATGATATGTCAAAGTTTATTCCAGCATCTCTGACAGTAGTATATTGTGTCCTGAGTTTGGACACAAATACTACACTTAGTTAAAACAGAAAAAAAACCCTAATCCAGTCACCATGTATTTTGGTTTCACTGAATGAGACTGAGAACAGACACAAGGGGAAGAGCACAAGCTTGTTTATTTAAAATTCAAATAATGATTTGATCTGAATTGTTTCCACTTTCTGCAGTACTTTCACTCATTCATATACAGATGACCTTTGACCCACTAAAAATGGTGGAAAAGACAGAAAAATCTTCTTTAAGATCCTTTATGAACACAGGGGAAATGTTTTGGTTATTTTCATTACATTAACACTTTCACACAATTTGTCATTTTAAGTCATGTTTTTGAGTTAAAATGCTTAACGTTGACAGGAAATTTCTAAATATTATTAGCTAAATACGTATTATTGGAAGACATTTTTAACTATTCCTGAATACCAACTATAAATTGCTCCATTAAGAAATGCTAAATAAGCAATGTTTAGCCTGGTGGGGCTCCAGTAAAGCCTGGTGGCCTGCCAGGCTTATAATACACAAAGAGAAACCTTACATTTGTTAAAAATGTACAGAATTTATTTGATATAAGAAAACAAATTGCAGTAGTTTGGAGGGAATCCTTGAGTATTTGTTGCACTTTTTGGAGTTTTATTTCCTTAAATAGACGCAAAAATAAATGGTTTTAGAAAAGTATAAGGTCGTGTGATTCCTTCGTCGCTCCTGAAGCAGTTTGTCTTCTCTGTCCAGATCTGACCGTCCTCTAAAAGAAACAAAGCCGTTTTCCTTGAACTCTCTCTGAACCTTGCAATCCACCGCTGACATTTTACACAGCTGTCGATTGGTAATACACACACAGAGACACATTTTTGCACTCAATTTCCTCCTCACAACTGTGAATGAATCACATCATTGCACATCTTTCCCACACACACTCTCTGGCTCACTCGCTGGTGTTAACCCGTGTTTCAGAGGATCCTGATGCGAGGGCCGAGAGACGCGCTAATAGGTTCCGGTGGGTTGCCTGTGCCCGCTGCCTTTGACCATCACTTAGTGCGATCAGGAGTGACAGTCCGCCCCGGTGGCCCCATCGCCTCTGTGATGGAGAAGGTCAGTGCAGGACAGGTGTCTGTCACTGCTGTTCAATTATAAAAATGATGTTGGCGGCATTAAAGAGGGATATGATAAACCGATGACCCCTGCCTTCATACACATGGGCAGAAATTAGCATTTACAAGAGACAAAGCTGCTTTTTTGAGCAGAAGTCTTTAATGAAAGTGTGTACAGGCGACTCCAGCTCCTTTCGGTGTCATAACCGCTTTGATCTCTCAGATGGCTCTGATGAAGGCTCCACAATGGCCTTGATTATTGAAGATCAGTGCCAGTGATTCAATTATCGGCTGCAGCTTGCACTGTGAATGTGTAATCTAAAGCACATCAGTGGCAACACGCAGAGCTAACAAGAGCTGCTGATGACGGGACAGACTTCAGAGCACTTCAAGAAACTTGGGGGACTTTTCAGAGAGCATGCCAACGCAGAGAGATTTCTATTGATTATTTAATCCAAAATGGCACAAATCAAGACCTCATAGTCCCTGTTTTACGGTTTTTGTGCTCTAAGAAATGGTGGTGGATATTTTCAGAACTGTTTCATCTAATAAATGCTTAAAAAGAAATAGTTTCAGTTTACAACCATTTGGTAGTGGCTTTTTATGTGCATATGTTCCCATTTTGTGCCAAGGAATTCACATTTACTGTTTTTGAAGTTAAGTATATTCATGAAAATTCATTTAACTTTTTATGACAGACTGTTTTAATTTAATATGATTCCAGTTTGGACCTGGAAATGATGACTTCCTGCTTGTGGACATCATCTTTTTGAGCCGTAAAACTGATTTTCCCTGCTGAAAATTATGAGCAAATTCTAGAACAGGACTTTAAAGCAGGTACTAAGCATCACTGTGGCAGGTAGAAATTGACTTATGATGAGAATTAATTGTCCTCCTCATATTCTACCTAAAAGAGTTGGTTTGCAAAAATACAAAACTACAAAAGGTACAAAATAATGATGGTGGAAAATTTGCGTTTCTCATATTTTTCTTGGATGACTCTACACTTTTACAGTCTAAATGTTAGCATAGCTATTTTTTACTAACTTCTTGTAACAACTAGCTTCTGTGCTGGAGCTTCTAATGCTAAAATGCAAATCAGAGCAAATTTAATTACTTTTTTATGTTGTATTTTGTAATAAATCTGCTGATTGATTTTGTGCAATTACTTGCTTGAGGAAAATACATAATGTTCTGCTTCTTGTGTAAAACCAACATGCTAGCATAGCGCTATGCTAAGCTAAAAACAAGGTCTGTGACATTTTTGATCTGAACTTTTTGTCTTTATTTAGCCGTTTAAATATATGACACATTTATAGTGCACTCGTTAATCTTTTAAACCACATTTAGACATTGTGTTAATTGGTGTTAAATGAAAAACAAAATCATAGTTTGTCTTTTTTTCTTTGAAGCAAAATTTTGTTGGCGTGAAACTTTATATCCAGCTGTCAGATGTAGATGTTACAAACAGCTCAATCTTTGCAGAAAAGTAATTTGCATCTCTATTACTGGGAAGTATATAATCCAGCAGGAGAAAAAAGTTCACTTTTGCAGATGGCAACTCGACTATCATCACGTAGGAATGAATAGGATTTGATTATTTTTCTCAGAGGTTCTTATCCCTTGATTTGTTAGCAGATTTTCTGAAAGCTGCTTGAATAGAGAAAGAAATCTGCTGTAATTTTCATCCTATATATGTAACGTCTGAGCAGAATAGAAGCATCTTCTTTACATGCCATTATTGCCTTTTCCTCCTTCAAAGCTTTCTTTGCCTCCAGTGATGCTATTTTCCACTTTTAATGGTTCATTCTTTGGATTCTTTCCTTGTATTTCCATCTTATTTTCACATTATGCATTATGAGAAATCCAGTTTCAAGATGTTCTAAAGGCATAAACAGAAACTATGAATAACTATTAAACTATGAGAAAATGTTTTTAGCTGATTAGTTAATAAATCACCCTAATAAAATTCATTAAGTATTCACTTTATGGTGCTACAGTGCTAATGCTAAGTTGTACATTTACAAAACAAGATAAGCTTTAGTTTTGGCTGCTTTTATTTCCATTTGTTTTGCAAAAATCCTGCAGCCAATAAGCAGGGAATCTATTTATTTGCTGCTTCTTGCGTCACTGGTTTGTTCATATTACAGTGAATTCTCCTTGACTGATGATCATTTTTACAAGCCTTGCTGCCCTTATGGGAGTTTTGCATAACAAACAGAAGACAGTTGGATCAAAACAACCTAATGTTCATATGGAAATCCAATAATAATTCTCCCCATCCCTGCTGCACTGGATAATGTGTCATGTTTTTATTTCTGCCTTGGATTTGATTCAGATTTGGCTTTGTGCTCGGCATACGGAGACAGCTTTGTGAATCCTAGTTAAATAATCCCATATGTCACTCTGAAGCAACAAAGTCTGTGTTTTTTAAAATTAAAACTGACATAAATAAACACGGTTTATAGTTTTAGAGCTTGTTGGGTGAGTGATGAGGATTTACCAGAGCTGAGGTTAAAAATAACAAGTAAACTTGCCCCAACTTTAAAGTTTTAATCAGCTTGAACCTTTTATGGTTGTTTAAATCAGGTAGGAGTCAACAAGCCGACTGTCTTTAATGTCAGCCGACAAACATATGGTGCCGGGGAGCCTTTCCTGACCCTGCTTTGCATTTGAGATGAGTCGGCGTGTTTGCTGCTTGCCCGCCCTCATGCATGCAGGCGTCGCCTTAAAACAGCTCAGGTTTAATGAAGACGAGTCGTCCAGTGAAATAGATCGATGGTGGAGTCGCTGTACCTGAAGAGAGAGGAGAAAAATGTCAAAAATAGAAAACCAAAGCCTGAATGAATTAAACTTTTATGACTAAACTTGATTAGTTTAACATTTTGGTACATTTTTCAATCATAATCACAAAAATAAATAGTTACACCTTTAAATAAAGTAAAGTAGGAAGCAGCACACTGTCTGTATATCAGTCCATCTTTAATCTACTGTCTACTCTGCTGAAGATTTTACGGCTCAAACGAATCTCTGCAGACAACTCTTCTTTCTCTTTGATATCAGATCCTGAAAGCATCAGTCAGGACTCTGAAAGTTGTCAGAAATGCTGCTCAGTGTCAAACTGAGGAACCCCAAAAGTTTCCAGAAGATTTTTAGTATATTTTAGTAGCATAAATATTACTGTAAATTTTACCAACAGAACAATCCTCAATGGTTTTCTTGACTTGATTATGGTCTAAAAACTCAGGATTCAACCTTATTATTACATGTTCAATCAGCAAAGCCTCTGGACTTGGTTAGTTTCTAATATCAAAGTTTTAAAAAGTTGCAGGTTTAGATCTGCTCAAACTTTCAGGAATGTTGTGAAGTAAAACATCCAGTGAGAGCTGAACAAAAAGAAAAGTTATGATCTTCAGACTTAAAGAGGAACAATTTAGTCATCATGCATGGAAACCAGCGATCAGGTCTGAAATTTGGCGGTAGGGAACCTTCACAGTCACATAAAGATAGTTACAAACTCAGCCTTCTATCACCTGAACACATTCTTGTGTTTGTCTTTGGCGGTTTTTGCTTGTTTTTATTTTTAAAAAATACATATCTGAATAATTTGTCCATAGTTTTGTCTGAGTTGTTTCATGTTGATGACATATTAATATTTCAGAATCACTTCATATTGCAGAGATTCAGTGAAGTTAACTCACACATGAGTCTTGCTGTGTTTATCTGAGCACTATAACATGACTAATGCTAAAATGCTCATTATATCATGAATTATTACAGAAAATGCTTTTTTAATCTTTTAATTTTTTCCTCCTCTTTGTTACCCAGCATGCATTCTCTGTAATATATGTTCCTAAAGATGCTACCAACACAGTCATCTTCTTGTAATGGAAAAATGATGACAAGCTGCCAGCTCTACAATAGCCAGAGGAGTCTGTCTTTTTAAAAGCATTATTTTCCTCCCAATCCAATTCCATCCTGCAAAGGAAACTAAAGATTGATTTCCTTCTGCAGCTTTTCTTTGTCATTTCCCATCTTCTCTGTCAAGATAGATAATGTGATTGTTTCCTCCACACCAGTTCAATCACATATTCGGCCATATTTGTTTTGAAATGACATATTTTTCTGCACCTATACAGACAATCTGAGCCAGTGGAAAGTAGCGCCGACATCCTCAGTGTTACAATCTCTGGGTTTTTTACATCGTTTTTTTCTCTGCCAGAAAGAAAAAAACAAAGATGGAGTCTTTGTCACTTTTGGAAATGAAACCTATTCTGCAACAAGATTGTGAAATCAGTGGGTTTCCTTCCCTGCGTTCACTTTCAGGGTGCAGATAAAGGTTGAAGTTAATTGTTTGTCACGACTGATTAAGCTGTTGATTATTTATTTAATTACATGACTGATTTCTCACTTTGGAAAATATCCAAATTCATTAGAAGAAACGGTAAATAAATCTTAATCAAAGCTTCACTCTTTGGAAAACATCTTAAACAGTGTGAAAATGGTTATTTTCACATTTTCTTTATGCGAAAAGATGTTGTATGACTTTATGAAGATACTGTCCATTTTACTGTTAGTATAGTTACATTAATTTGCATTGGTGTGTATTAAACTGACAGTAGCCAGCCAGAGATGACTGTCACTGCGATGAGATTACAAAAGGAAACAGAAGGGAGAGGAAATTGCAGCAACTAATGCAGGGTGTTCATTTCTGCTCATTTTATCGCCTGCAGCCTGTGTTGCTGGTTATTTATTTATTTAGGTTGCATTAGGACAAATAGTTTAATCACCTGGATGTGATGAGGATGTGATGAGGATGTGATGAGGTGCCTCTTTACAACCTCTTGGCTGCAACGCAGAGCAGAAGTGTTACAGAAGCAATACTCTCCCTTCTGTTTGTGTTTCTAGAACACCAATAAGAATAAATATCACTCCCTTATTATTACTTATTATGAACACTTCAAAACATTAAAACAATTTCATCTTTGTCCACATTGAGCAACAAGAACTCCCAAACCATAGGTGACCAGATTCACCTAATTCTGTTCTTTGGAAGGAAAACAAATTGTTTTCTTCTTCTAGAGGTTAAATCGGCTTTTAGCCTCATCTGTCCAAAGTCTCAGTAAAGTGTTACTGAATCCTCATGTTTATGTTTGTGAAGGTAGGACAGAAAAACAGGCTTTCTCCCAGAATTCCTCCTTGTTGTTGGTTTGGAGCTAATTATGGTTGTCGCTGGCCTTGTTTGCCTAATTCTGCTTTCGCACCAAATGCGTTTCATGCATCGTCACTCCAGACTCCGGTGTCTTGGACTCCTGTGTCTTGGACTCCGGTTTTTCCAACCAGCCTTCTTTAAAAGTTGCGTGCGCTGCAGAACTATTTCCTTTTAGGCTTCGTGAACCTACTAAACTGCTTTTATTAGGATTGTTGCTTCAGATTTATCACAACTTGTAATCTCCAGAATGCAGTTGGGTTCATGCAACAAGCTCTGGCATCTTGTTAAAATGTTGTGCTGTTGCTGTCATGATTTGTTGTCTCAGATAAGAGCAACGTTGACAAGTTCTCTGGAAATGTGTCTCCTCTGCGGAGGCACTTCTGCTATCATCTAGATAATTAATCATCCTCACACTAAGAAACATTCATTCTTTTTTATTTTTAGCTCACAAAACCACATTTTCTTGTAACGTTCAGTTTCAGAAAAGATGTAATCTGCTGGTAATTGAAAGATCTCTGTGCAGTAAAAGTTAACTCTGACCCTGTCCTGCTGATTAATCCACTGGAGTCAATGTTCCAGACATTTGGTGCTTGGCAGGTGTTTACTGTTGAGACTTCCTGTACACAAATGGGATCAAATTAGTCCTAAATGGTTCCCAGGGGGGAAACGGTTGTTTTGGCTCTACATCATTGACCTCAGGGTTGTCGACATGCTTCCTCTCCGCTCTCGACTGTCACTCTCCATCTCTGCCCAGCTGGTGTTGGGTTATTTCTTCAGGCAGGCCTTGAATTTAAACAGGTAAAACTGATACACAGATTCATGACAACCAGGTTGACATTTCAAGCATTTACCTATCTTGGTGTCTCTAAAAGTTCAGATGGTTTTGTTGTCTGTCATATCCAAGTTTTTCTTTATGTATGCTGAGCCTGTCACAGCCTACAACCTACCAATGAACCTGGCTCTAACTTAAGCTTTTAATATACTTTCTTTTCCAGGAGTTTTTCTCACTGCTGCCTTGAAATAATACATTTTCTCTGAAATAAAGAGCCTTGCAGCTCCCCAGGTGAATAAAAAGACAGAACCTCAAGGGAAAACTCAACTTTCTGTTAGGTGATATATATTGTAGGTTAATACGTTTCACTCTAATGTGTGATTGTGTTGAGAAATATCTGGCTTGCTCTCGAAGTTCACTGCTCAGAAACAAGCGTTGAGGTGGGAAAAGAGATTTGAGGCAATTTTTCTGTCAGGATTTGAACTATTTAAAGAGATTTCTGTAAAGTGATGTGAAAAAGTATTTGTCCCTTCAGAAACTTCTCCTGATTGCAGCTTGAAGTTGACTTTGAGATCTCAAAAGCAACATTTTCTCTAATCTAGAGTAAATTAAAGAAGCTCAGCAGCCCTCATTTAAAGTAAAGCTCTCAAAAACAACAATTCTCATGCTTGCCAACTTCCCAATATTTGGTAATATTGTGGAACATTTCTTCAACATTCGGGACTATTTGGAAAATAATCTATATTATTGGTGAATATTGAGCAATATTGGGTTAGATTACATTTAATTAACAGTTGTTTAATTTAGGAAGCAACTATTTAATCATAAAGGGCATTAATAAATAAAATAGTCTTTTAGAAACTGCTTTTTTCTATGCCTCATCTGAAGCTTTTAAATGGGTGAAAATGGAGAAAACAGCAGAAATATTTTAAGGTAACATGGATTCCATCATAACTAATATTTTCTGCAACTGACTTCAGTTTTGACAAGCTACATTTTCAAATGGGCTTAAATAAGAGCCTTGACTTGTTGTGAGTCATAAAAACATCTCAGCATTGGAATAAAATTTAACAATTTCTCACTGCTGGTTGTGGAAAAATAGCTATATGTGCTGGATATTGATGCTAAGGTTTGGGGAGGAGAAGTAAATACAAGCCTAACGCTCCTGCAATCACAACCCAGTTGGACAATTCATGTGTAATAATAAATAAACCTTGATGATCAGCAGCAGAGTGTTATAAGCAAACATGAACTGCCTTCAAAACAACTGAGCCGCTCTCTGTACCTCTGTTGGACCAATCAGTGACCTTCAGCTTCTGAAGGAAGACAAATTTATCTGTCAGGTGATTTTCAGAGCTTGACCAGCAGCCAGTTTCTGCTGCTGACGTCCTACTGATTATCCCCATTAGCTTGCTACCCAGGACCAAACCAGTGAGACACATGACGGATGCCGCCGCTGCAGATCCACAAAGCTCCCAAAAAATGCAAACTGATTGAAAATGTTTTGTTTTATGGATTTGAAAACAATTTTGAGTGTTAATTCATAGGTGTAGCTTCTCAAAAATCAATCTTACATTTTAACACACCTTAAATCAATCAATAAATCTGATAGAATATTTAATATTCAAAAGAATACTCACTGAACTCCGATCCAGAAACGCACAGCATTCTGGGAAATGTAGGCAGAGGACAGAGTTTAGCCGCTCAACCTCTGAAAGCTATCTCTGCAAAAATTTGTGTAATCAACTGACTCACTACCCCATTGGTTACCTGGCAACAATCTACTTTGTAACTTGTGGTTACCTAGCAACAACCTGTTGCGTAACATGCGCAGCAGCAGTTTCAGGTTTCATATAAAGTACTTAAAAATAAAAAGTGCAACAGTCTGAAGTGAAAACTGTGGATAAAACAGGAAAATTTGGCCGTATTTCAGACACCTAAAATAAAAACTAATCAATATTTATCAATATTGACTGATAGTAAATACTTCTATTGGTCTTTTCTCAACCATATTGTCCAAAATATCCCACAAAAAAGTAAACAAATGCAAAATTTTGTGCTTTATGAATTTAAAAAACAATTTAAAAGGGAGAACTTCACTTTAAGTATTAAATTTAACACACATTTCACTGTAAAACAAATAAAAGTTTTGAAAATATATAAACGTTACAGTGATTTATAATAAAACAAAAGTAAAATTACTATAAAAAAAAGAAGTGAATTCTAGTGCAGGATAAAAACAAATGGCGGTTCAGTAGAAAACGCTCAGATTCATTGTCTCTGCTAGATGACAACTCTAATGCTAGTTAGCTAGCTGTCAGCTGCAGGTTTTTGCCTTACACTTGTAATGGTGTTGTTTGGCTTGTTAAGCTGTCATCTGTGCTGTTGCTTCTGATGCGTGCTGAGAGTCTGAGGGAAGCTGTGACAGCTAGTCACACGTCTGCATCTCAAATAGCATTCTTTGATTCAAGACTCCACCAGTTGAAAAATAGAAACCAAGTCAGCTTTTTGTGTTTCAGTGGAGAGAAAGGCATTGTTAGTGCTTTAAAAGTGACAAGTCTGCCGAAAGCAGTTAATGCAGGATCTGTCGTCAGAAATCCTCTTTCCTTCCAGGGGCAGTTTCATTTCTATGCAACAAATTTGGCAGAAGCTCACGTTGCAAATCAGGATTTTTGTAACTCGACAGATTTCTAATTTCCTCAGCAAAACATTTGATTCTGCGGCCGTCTTAGGCTGCCGCCTGTTCCCTTTTCTTTGGCGTTTGGGCTCAGAGCGACTGCGCATTTGGATGAGTGTTACAGCACAAACACCCCAGATCCATAATCACACACTTGGCAGGCGCTGGGAGTAATTTACTTAAACCAAGCTCCCTCATTTGAATACAAAGATGTCTCTCTTGCATTGCTGCTGTAATGAAATTAGCATGCAGCATGGCGGCTCTCGTCGGGAGTCTCTTTGTGCTGCATGTTAATACTTGACGCTTTCTGTCAATGAACTCCTCCTGGATGGCTGTCAGTGGCAATCACCTCGCCTCCGCAGCCACTCGCCTCAATACGTGTGGCGTTTCAGAAACAAGGTGGAGACTCTCCCCCATCTCAATTACGCTGCATGTTGCTTCTTTCTGGAAGCTTTCCTTTTCTGTTTCAACTGTATCAGCTGATCGCCGGCCCTCGGGGACGCGGAGTCATTCTCTGCTCCGTTCCTCCTGTGGCTATCAAGGACACACAGCCTGCATTATGAGGAGAGCAGAATTGCTTTCGCATTTTTAACTGGGAAAGGCCACGGCTCGCCCTTGGCTGGTGTTAACATTCCTCTGAAATGTAAACCTGATCTCGGGTGTCAGGAGGTGTCTGGGTGGGTCGCACCCTGCGTGTCGGGACGCGTGAAAGAAAATTAACATGGACCTTGTGTGTGTCACATGCGCCGATTTGTACATCTTCACCCCAAACAAGCCGGTTCTATCTCATGCTGAAGGTGATTTTATGTGTTTACTTCCAGGGGTTTCTAGGTATTTGGAAAATAGTTAGAAATCTGCAGAAAAATCAAAGAGAAAGATGGTTTTAGAAATGCAACGGTTGGAAACAATATTTCTCCCGTTATTCTGCAGCAGCAACAGTTTTATCCTGCATTTATCTCTATAGTTTGTCGAACTATTTCAGCTTGAGATTCACTGAAACCAGTCAACAAACACAAAACCATAAACACGTTTACTCAGACTGAACCAAGTTTAACAGAGAATAAAATCTGATCAGCGTTTGCTTTTCAGTAACGTGAAAAGTACAAAATTGGGACATAAATTCCAACCATTTAAACAAGAATTAGCATTTTATTAATAATGGAAGTGATTAAAGATGGAGTAAATATTCCTACTTTGCATTTTCACAGCGAAGACGCAGCAGACAACTATCTGTACCCACAGATGTTTATTGTGGAAATGTTATTCTGCAGAACTAATACCAGCTGAACAACTTTGTTGATCAAAAGTTTTCAACACTTTAATTTAAACCAAATTACTTGGAGCCTACAGTAAAGAACTTTTAATACACTTCAAAAACATATTTTCATTCTCAATTTGCTTCTCAATTACTTCAATTAACCAAAAGCAGATTGGAAAACGAGTATTTGAGAAAAATCAGCCAGTTAAATTATTTATTTTAGATGTGACCAAAAGTCCAGGAGCTTTTCATCCATAATTTATTGCAGAGGAGAAAAAAACCCATCTGACCTCTTGTGACATTTAACAGGTTTAAACTTTGATTGCTTTCATGAAAGAGTGCAACAAAAACAAACAAGCAAATTAAATATAAACTTAGTAGTTCAACATGAGCCACACATCTCTGTTAATTATTCATCCTGGATCTTTTCTGTCCACCTTGTGATTCAGTGACTAACTAGTGTGAAAATAGCTGGATTTTATTCAAAGAAAGGTATTAATATTAAAAATATTTCTCTGAACGTTGAGATAATTAAGTTGAATCATTTTCAGTAAGAGCATTAGCTGAAACCAGGGGAGACAACAAGACCCAATTCTGGAAACAAATATAAATGATTGTGATTAATTATTATTTGGTATTAGTATAATTTTTAGCAAAGTAATCAAGTCAATTATTCATGACACAATCATGTGCAATTGTTGTTTGATTCTTGAGTTGATTAAAACCCTTGTTCTGTTTTTGGCAACGTTGGGTTCTTCAGCAGATCTCGTTACGTTTGGACCCAATGAGAATCCAGCAAACGCTGCATGTCGACACAGGAAGGAGGATGAGGAGGGTGAAGGCTGAGCAAATGTGAAATGACACATTGACAGCTTCTCAACAAGCCACAATCAGCACTTCATCATATTTAAACCTCCTGGACAGTCTCTGCGGAGCGTCACCTTCTCCTGTGTTTCCACGAAAGACCCGATTATCATCCCGGATCGATGCATAAACACTCAGATTGCTGCTCTGCCGCCGTGTCGGGTTTCCGTTAAGACTCCCTCTGGAAGACGTCAGTGCCCTCAAAGATTTGGTTAGCGGTTGCTCTCTCGTAATAACCCCTCGACGCTCTTGGGGAAGTAAGCAAATACGGCAGATGGGTAGAGGATAATGTGTTCTGTGGCCCATTAGAGGAGGTGAGAGGTCTGGAAAGCAGAACGTTTTCTGAATATTGCTCTTCATCTGACCTCCAGACTCACAGCTTGATCGAATCCAGACACTCGGAGTGTTTATGGCGTGATTAACGTCGCCTGATGCCTGGAAATTGGCACTTAATCCTCTAACATTTCAGAGATGAAATACTTTTACTTGACTTTTGTCAGATGATTTGGACACGCAGAAATATGTTTGGTTGGCGGGAATCTCAGTTTGAAGAGCTAGAAACGGAGCAGTTTTCTAAAAAAGTTAATTTTATTCTCATTGTCTGAAGTGAAAATAAAATTGAAATCAGATCAAACTTTTCTAAAAAACGTAGCAAAAATATATTTTTTTGTTACTTTCGTTGTAAGCATTTAATCTAAACAGGAAGTTCATTTTAACATTATTTGTTTATATTGATTTAGTGTGATTAATATTCTTATTCCTAATATCTCAATGACTTATTGATCATCCTATAATTTATACATTGAAATTAGGAGATATTTTGTTAAATTAGCTTTTTGTTCTCAAACCAGAAAACATTAAATAAATTGGTACATTTTAATTTGCTGTAGACTGTAGACTACTACTACAAAAAATTATTAATATTACTAATAAAAGATATATATTAATGAATTAAAAGTGTGTTTTTAGTTCATTTGACGTGTGGTGCAGGAAACCATGCTTGTTTTCTTACTTTTTGCATCTCAAACTGGTGAAAGTATCTCTGGTACTTTGTGACAGAAAGAGGTTAACATAAAAATGTAAAAAATGACGTTATCTTGAATGGTAGCAAAAGGAATGTGCTACTTCCATGCTGGGATGGGACAGGAAAAAATCCCATGGAGGAAATATTTCACAAAGCAATCACCTGCAGGCAAAGTACATGAACGCTGCGAAGGCATTTTAGAAAAACTCATTAAAAGCCTTTTTATTCCAGTTAGCAAGAGCAGCTCTGGGATTATTCCCCCGCTGCTTTACGGGCGAATTGCCTCGGCCGTGACACCGCGGTTATTTCCTGCTCCCTGTCAGTCCCAGGACCATCAAATCACCCGACGTCACTGACAGGTGAAAGACGAACGGCGGCCATCGCAGAGGAAGTAGCAAGCGTGATTGGGGGAAGTGTGTCTGTGTCAGGGCCGGCAGAAGAAAAGACACACGGTGTCGGGTTTGATGCATTGGAAAGTGAAACCCTTGACCTCATGTCTCTTTTTCTTACATCTATTATACAGACTTGTTGTTTCCTTGACACTGAAATACCATTAAATGATATCCAGCAGTGAAGAGCACAACCTTTAAGAGCTGCTGCTGATGCAGGAAATGCAGAAAGTTTGAAATAATTCAGATTTTATCCAGGCTTTTCCACCCGTAAATGTTCATCACATGGTTCTTGTAGGTCAGAAAGCTTTTTATCTGCTATATATCCAGATGGTGTGTATATATAATAAAACTTAGAGGTTTTTTTACCTCCTCATTGACTGACATGGCAGCAGCTTTAAAAACGTACAAAAGACGAGACGCTATCTTCCATTTATGCTAGGCTACATGACGGTGCGGCCTTGTCTCTGTGGTTACTGATGGTTAGATTTTATATCTTTCTAATCATACAAACTTGAGCGTTAATCTTCC